GGCATGTATACCGGTGGTCCCTGTCTGACTCTCAGTTTATTTTCTATTTTTCAGCTTGCATCTCTGGCATTTTGCTGATACTGAGCTGCTGCTCCACTGAGAAAATTTCTAAATATTTTCTGTCTCAAGTTTGTTTGATTTTTTTCTTACCTTGGTCTGTTAGTAATGTGAACTGCATATGCGCGAGGATGTATTATAACTTTTTAAGTTACTATATAGTGAATGAAGCACACATAAGGCTTTTCAAACAGAAACACTTTTTTAAAATGTTACGTTTCAAGTCTGACCGATAAAAATGCCACTGTATTAAACAAAGGCAGTCAATCAGTGGCCGTGGCCCAAAAATAATATATATTTTTGTAACGGGTTTCAGTGCCCTCAAGTTAACAGTGTAGTAGCCACATTGGCTTTTTGGTGTACTGACACATTCTGGCGGTCCCAGCTGGCTCTGTACCAGTGCTTTTCACACCATGGCCCAGTGGAGCAGCAAAGGACTTGGTAGCCTGGTTACAGTGGACCTGGGCAATTTGGACCATAATTAAGTCATAAATCTTCTCTAGACCATATGAAAAGGCTGCACCCGATTACACGCCGCCCCCACCGCCACCCCACCCGGATTCCCTCGCGCAATCAGCCAGTTCACCTGATAAGAAACCAATTCAGTTCCTCTGCTTTTCAATTGCATTAGCAGCAGCTCACCTTGAGTTAATGAAACGCCTAAACAAATATGTCCTCTGAAATCTAATATACTCAACCAGAATGCAATATGGCAAACACACTGAGGATATGGAGATCTCATTCATCTGTCTGCAGAATACCGATAAGTACTCACTGAGGTAAGAGATGATCTCTATTCTATGCACTGAAATTGATGATACAGCATATCTAGAGTAAGCTATAACATAAATGTCAGTTCTGTTCTTAGCTATTATTTATTCATGTCTTGTCTGCATACAATAACTGGATGGATTTCTCATAAAATCCCTACTGACATAATCCCAACTTCAACCAGTCTCAAGCAGAACCAATTTAAAGGACCACCTGGTCACTCTGGCTTGGCAATGGTGGTTTATTTAAAAAAATGAGGTAAAAATCACAAAACCTAGGAAATGAAAACATCTAAAATATACTGATAATGCTGCTATTTGTCTGTGTGGCTACTACAAAACAATGTAATTTGCCTTATTGCCACATCTTTTTGCTTCACCTTTTATTTGACTGAAATCTACTAAGTTAAAGCATGAGTCAGACAAATGAAAAGCTCCCCAAGAATACAGTGAGGTACAAAACAAAACTGCAAGATCTAAGTTGGTGCACTTTTTTTTCATAATGCACGTGTTCAGTAATTCACTGCTTAGAGGATGTAATGACACACACTTGTTGTAAATCTTCTTACCAAACATAAGATGGACAAATATAAAATCTATCCTCACCGCATCATGTTCACTGCACAGAAGAGCAATCTCTTTAAAAGAGCTGAACTGTTTTGGGGCATTTAGTTTATGTCTGTTTGCCTCTTTTTTAGCCTTCCTAGGTTAGATTAACTAATGAAATGTAATGAAATGATTATTTTACTTATTTAAAAAATAATAAATAAACATGACTATCCTGTCTAACTCTTTGCCCATAAATATTTGCACAGAGTAGTGACTTGAAAGAAACTGCAGTTAATAAATGAAATTGCAGGCCAATGGTGAACGTGATATATACAGATGTTTTTAATATTTTTTGGAAGACAAGGTAGACGAGTAAGTTGTTGGTAAGTCAGGCACTGAATACGCTAGCATGTAATCTATTCACTTTTTTTTCTTGGCCTTGTGTTGGCAGTACAAGCCACACATTCACACACTATTTTATTCTATGCACACCCTGCTGTTACACAGACTAATGGAGGCATCCTGGGATATTTGGAGTTCAATACAGTATTTTACCAAAGGAAACTTTTACTTTTATACCCACTAACTCCTGAGCTAGACCCTCATTTTCTTTATTCTCCCCCTGAAAGGAAGGGAGGGAGTATGTAATCGGTTGTGCTTGTTTGTTTGTCCATTTGTTAGCATTCTAGCAGCCCTAGTTTTCAAGATATCATTTTCAAATTTGGTGTGATGGTAGATACCAATTACAGCTCGAGGTGATTTCATCTTGGTGAAAATTAGGTCAAGGTGACACCAAATGTGAAGAATCAGTAAAAACTTTATTTTACCCACGTATTGTCTTCACACTAGAACAATTTAGCAGGCTTTGGTGGTCACAAGTACCTTTGTTGGCTAAGCATAGTTAACACCCAAGGTCAGAACTGGCTTGAGAATAAATCACAGCAAACGATATCGAGTAATATATCATATGGAAGGGCATGGAGAGAGCCTTTTTATTTTTTCAATATGACACCTTATGACATCACAGCGGCACCATAACAGGCTGACATCGTCATATCGTAATAATAAAAACAAGAAATATTAAAAGTTTTAGTATAGCCCTTGTCCTTCAGGGGGAGTTGCACTCTGAGTGCTCTGGTTTCATTTATAATATTGTTACACACCCAGTATCCACTATCAGTATAACTAATTTAGAATATGTATACATATAGTGCACCACAAAATGTTTGTGAGGATGGTCTTGTGGCATAACTACAGATGTATTACCCAGAAATGGCTTTTTCGCTGCTGTAAAGCATCTCTTTTGCAACTCTCTGCCTGATTCCCAGTGCATATTTCATGTCCCATATAAGTAACATATAAATACAGTGAAGCCAAAGTAAATGGCTTAAGTGTGACTCATTATTACAAAAAAGGCTTAGAGGCACATTTCAAGGCTTCTGCGTATTGCACACAATACAAGGTTTGGGGAATTAGTCATACGCTTATAAAACAGGCTCAAACGGCATTCAGCCCAGAATTTGCTTTTGTGTGGCATTACACTGTGTAATCAAGCGCCACACTTTCCAGGGCAATCATGTCCTTTATCACAGAGGAACTGTCGCCAACCACCTACAGAGTGGGAGGATAAGCCCTGTAGGTAATAGCGTGTGGTGGGTGCTTGATTGGGTATGGAGAGTGAGAAGTTTTGCTCCCCCAACCCCCCCATACCCCACCACCCTTTACACCAACAAGTCATAGCAGAAGAGGCAGCCATCCGTACAAGTAATGAGACACACTTTTACGCCACTTGCTTCAAATTTTCTTTTTTGTTGCTTTCGCGGAACGCTCTAGCCGATGGTCCAAAGCAGGTCGGATTTACATGCATGTATCTACAAAAATTCATAGACTCTGCCTTTTGTTTTCTCCATCTTACGCTCTCATTTTCATTGTAAGGGGAGGCATAAAACTGCCTGAGTTAATTAGGGGTGACACGATGTTTATGTAACCTCCAAGCCTCACAAACCAGACGCAATTATGGGCTCCAGTCCCTGTGACCCCAGCCCGTAGCGTAGCACGGCAAAACTCCAATCCCGTGTCCCTGGAGTGAGCAGTAAGGTGATGGGGGAAGGTGGGAACGTGGAGAGGGGGGGGAGCAAGAGTTGAGTTCTTTTCACAGCTCCATCTGACGGGAGCTCTCGCTGCCTAATCCAAAGTGACGGACACTTCAGTGGAGAGGGCACAGAGCCCCCCAATTTCCGCCAGGACCCCTCGGCAGGAGAAGCAGAGAAGCCAAGGGTTGGGGTGGCAGACTTATTGTGGCCCAGTGAGACAGAGTGGGGCAGGGGCCTCATTACAACGCTTAACTGCACTCACAGGCCCTCATTAACCCACCACACCAGTGACTCAAATCAAAACAGACAATAAAAAGAGGTCTGTGCTTGAATAAAGGCCTCTGTTTTAGTGTGACAGAGTTTCAGCATTGTAACGGAGCACTTTATGGAGCTTTTAAACAAACAAATCACATACGTTTGTTACAACGGGTCACTTTAAATAAAGGATTTCCCTCTTGTAGATGTTATCATTCAACTTGCATACAGTTCTCTCGTTGTTTTTCTTTTTTTAAAAAAGGCACAATGAATTTATGATTCAAAAACGAAGGGCACCAACATGGTGCTGTGAGAAGCGCATTTATAAGACTGCCTGCAGTGCAAAGGCATGAATGATGAGTGATGACAGACACCTAAGCATGCTGCCAATGGAATGCAAAGCCAGTGCAAAGATTAAGTGCAGGCTGTATCCCACCGCTCATCAGTGCTTTGGGAAACGAAGCTTAGCCCGCCAAATGATGCGTTTCATAGACACAATTAAAGAACAAATCAATTCAGCTGCCTCGGTAAAATAATCAGAGATGCGGTGGCTGAATTTGGCTGCAGTTGCATAGTGGAAAGCTTGGAAAGCGCCAACCATTTCACAAGAATGATTAAATAAGATTTTGATTTCTATAGAATCCTAAAGATTACAACGTTGCCCCACTTATCAAGATGTTTTATATTAACATACTAAAATACTGGTTTCTCGTTCATTTACGAAGTTTTTTAGTCTACAAGGTAGCTCATACATTGCGATACTAGCCTTGCTTTTATTACTTTTTTTAAAATGTAATTCCACAACCAAGTGGCTGCACGCGTATAAAGCTGTAATCACTGAACCGCAGATGAAGTGGGGAGACAGCAGCAAGCCTGCTCTCAGCTCCTCAGTCTGAAATACATGGTGATGAGGTCACACTGTAAAGACCAGCAGGCCATCACATTCTGTCTGTCACATCATCAACGGCACTCTCCTTCCCATTTACAGCCCTTAATCTGCATACATCACCATGCAGGAAAGAAACAGACATAGTGGAGCTTTATGTGCTGTGCATTATGTGCTTGTAGAGGGGTTTGAGCAATGAAGAGGTTCTCTACAAGGAGTGTGTGACAAAGGGGAGAAGTACAGAAATAAACACAGTGAGAAGAGAAGAGAAGAGAAGAGAAGAGAAGAGAAGAGAAGAGAAGAGAAGAGAAGAGAAGAGAAGAGAAGAGAAGAGAAGAGAAGCCACATGGGGAGTATAATGTGCAGAAAAAGACAGATGGGTCCACTTACCAGCCTGGTTAGTGGTAATGTTGACTGAGGCATACTGAGGGGAGTAGGGGCTCTGATCTGACACCCCGTTGACAGCCTGCACCTCAAACGTGTACTGTGTGTGGGCCAACAGGTCACTAATGTAGACCCGAGTTTCTGTCAGGCCCAACTGGCGGGGTAAAAACTGAACGTTGTCCCCACATCGGGTGCACCCTCCTCGGCCTCCGCCGCAGCTTTTGCAGATGATGTTGAAGACTACATCCTCGCGGCCCCCTGAATCTCGAGGGGGCATCCACTCCAGCATTACAGAGGTTTCATTTACGCTGGAGATCACATTTTGCGGCGCTGAGGGGACAGCTGGAAAACACATAAATGTGTGCATTTATTCTAAATGCTGAAAAGTGCGAAGAAAAATTAATCAATAAAAAGGGAAAGAACACTTCAAGAAACAAATGAAAATGTAAAGAGGATCCAAGTCACTATTTTGACTCCAATTTTTGTCACATTACAGCCTTTACTTTTTTTGGGAAAGGCGGGGGGGGGGGTGTCAAACTGGAGCAAAGTAAAAATATAATAACTATAAAGTTGATGCAAAAATGAAGCCAGGCAAGAATTACCGACTAACAGGCTAACTTTATCATTTCATTTAGAGTTGGTCCTGTTTCATGAAGTTCGTTATTGACATTATAATACGAAGCCCCCCTGAACCAAACAAAGCAGTAATTTAAATCTAAAACAAATGTTTTCCAAACATAAACTCATTGCGTACTTATTTCTAATTTGAATCATCATTTTTCCTGAAGGATTTTCCTAATCTTAAACACAGCTTAATTGTAGCATTGGCACATCATATTCTCGATTCTCATTCTTTTGTTGTTTTGTTTTGTATTTTTCCATTTTTTGGATAAATTTTTTTTTTTTTTTTACTAATGTAACATCAGTGGTGGCTTCCCAAAAGAGCCCACCCAAGGAATAGACATGGAAATCAGCTTTCAGCTGTACCTAGCACAATACTTGTATTGTACATTGTCACTTTTTAATATCTAATAATCAGTGATTAAAAAATTCTATAGAGATTTGCAATAGCATTGCAATATATACACAAATGTTGCAGCGTTTTGCCATTAAATGAAAATTGCTTCTAGGTGGACCAGTGATGTATGTAGATCATGGACAAAACAAAAGGGAAAGAAAGACGATGAAATGTGTTTTTATTCATTATGTTATTCAAGCCAAACCTTTAAAGACATTTTTAGTTCTATATAGAATTGGTGTAATTTTGGAATGGAAGTTGTATTGTGTCCTTGATGGTGTGGAGGGCAAAATTACCAACCCTATTTAAACAGGAGCAGAGAAAACGCCCGCAAAGATACTGTACAGTCATTTTGAGGTCTGTGCTGACTGCATTCCAAGCTGGCAGCGCCTCTTCCCTCGGGATGCCCATTTACACTTTCTCATTTTCAATGCTGGTGTCCACTCCATCAAGTGTTTTCTTAACATCTATTCTTGACAATTTTCTCATGGAGCATCGTATAGAGTTACTGCAGCGGAGAGAAACCTACTGTTTCTCCTATTGAGACATTCTTAGCAGCTAGGCATTATAGAGTGGAAACTTTCCACATGGTGCTACATGTTGAGTGACAGGCCAAACAAACAAACAATGAGAACTGTTTAGCTTTTACAGACATGTGCGCCTAATTATGGTAGACGTATCCTCCAGGACTAATGAGATAAACAATTCCACTCCGCCCACAACATCCTAAAATCTGAATCGATCATTTCTTATTTAACCTCGTTTTAATTGGCAGCAATTAACAGATCTCTGGCTCTGGAAGAAAGCCCACTGGAGTGCCCTTCTTGGTGTCTCTTATACATAGAAACATAACTCCTCCTTGGCATCTTCTTCCTGGGGAGGAGGACTAATATCCGCCCCATTAGCTGGCGGGCCGCTCTGATGGGCCCATTCCCTTGCTTTAATCAGGCCGGGCCCTGCTGCTCTTAATACGGGTGACGTGACGCTGTTGCTTTCTCATTCACAACAGCTGCTCAACTCCCAGAGCCAGGCTTATGCAAATCTCCTTTGTTGGAGACCATCAAATCTTTTCCCTCCTCTTTCTGTTTCAATAGACAGAGGGGGAGTGTGAGGAAAAAAAAAAATACTATCGAAGCATTGATAGAGGCTTTTTTATCCCACTTTCTCCCATTTTGTTTTAGTTAGACTGCACTCTATGCAGTAATTCCGTCTTTTTTCAAATACACGCACCCATTCTCCCTCAAATTCCTCCTTCGTGTCTTTCTGCATGTCTTTCCCTCGCAATTTACCCCTCCCTTGCTCACTTTTGCTTATGTCTATCCGCGGCCCATCTCTCTCGTCCAACCTCAATGTCAGTCTCAAATTCAAATTCAAACTCAAACAGCTTCATTGGCATGACAAGAGAGGGTCTCGCCTCGGCTCATTCTCCAAGTTTGCCCCCTCACATAGCTATGCGCCCTGTCCCAGTAACCTCTGGTCTGGTTTGGAGTACGGACTGTGTGATGTTGAGGAGGGGCAGCTGACGCTTGTGTGCTGGGTCAGATCTGTGGACAGCCACACTATGAGCATGTCAGCATCCCTTTCGTGTGAGGGACAGCTCTGACAGGGTTTCTGTTTGGAGTTACACAGACTACCACTGTCCTTTGATCCCGGAGTGCTTCTGCTTGTGCTTGTGACATGTGTGTGTCAGAAAGCTCATATCTGACGCCAAAACGTTTTCCATTCCTGTCTGTGTATTATGCGCAAGTAATTGGCAAGTTCATATATCACAGCTTCAGTACCATACTTACTTGTGCAAGGCATCTGGAGAGGATCTGAGTCGGTGCGATAGTATCCATTTCGGCAAACGCAGTTAATAGCACCTTCACTGGTGGTACGGCTGTTGATGGGACACTGCATACAGGGCTCATCTCCTTGAGTTGGCTTGAAAAAGCCTGACAGACAGGCTAAAAGAGAGAAGAGAAGAATTTTTAAAATCACAACCAGCGGATTTTCAAAAAGCAGACTGCATGTGAATACATTTTTGTATGACTGAAGTACTAGGTTTCTATAATACTATACTTATCATTGTGGCAGCCATAAAAAGGGTAGCCATGTATATATGCATCCACTGCCAATGCATAGTTCATATTGTGTTATAAAAGAAAATCCATCAAGTTACCAGAAATCAAATTGAAAAAACAAACAAACAAAAACATACACACCATAAATCAAACAAAGATATATCAGAGCAGCCCTGAATATAAACACACACTCTTGCATGCCTCTGCAGATGTGGCTACATGTAAGTTTGCTCTGAATTATTCACCACGCTGTAGTTGCCTGAGAAATCTCTGAAGTGCCCCGCTTCCTGTTAAGATCCCTTTTAAGGGCCTCTTTCTGGAAACATGGGAGGAAAGTTACATTTATCACAGAGACCGTGATGAACACACACACGGCTCAGCCATTAAATGTTCTATCCGTGCATCTGACTTTGTGTGGGTGAATCGCAGGCTCTACCACTGGGTACATCTGTTTGCGTGTTGCCACAAGCGCCACTCACTGCTGCGATAAACAAACTAACGTAGCTGTCTATGAAATCCCCTTATCCTCCCCTTTCCAGTCACATTCCACCTAAACCTTCACTGCCTAAAAAAAAAATAAAAAAAATAAAATAAAATAAAAATAAATAGCCTCTTTTTCAGCGTTTGCACCTGCACCATGTCGAGAGATTTTCTCGTATCTCGGGCCAAAAAAGCTACGGTTTTGCTTCAGGTAATCCAGCTCCCACCTGCCCCTCCGATAAAAGAATATAGAGGTGTTGAGACAGAGACATGAAATAGTAACATGAAAAATTTACACACGGGACACACTGCATATCGGTACGTTAAAAGCCCTCGGGTCTTTCGGTGCTTTTTCTGGGTAGAAAGCAAAATGGATTTAGTGCGATGAAAAGAAACAAAAGACAGAAGATGAATGCTTCCTTGCATATTTCTTTTATTTGAAAATTTAAAACTGTTGATTTATATAGGGCTCCTTTTTTAAAATGCACTTCAAACAATTTCTCTTCCTCATTAAGAAAACAAGTTATCCAATTTTCTACTAGTATTAAAAGCCTTACTATTACACGACTGCCATTTCTACACTGTAAAGTTATAAAAATACAGCCATTATTTCATTCTGAGACTATACTGGCAATTACAGCTCCACTGTAGCATCTGGAATGTGGAAATATCAGCAGCTGCAACTCCCATTTAAAGGAGGTCATTTCACAAGGCAGAATTAGTCCGGATCCAATCCCAATGTTTAGATTATGCAGACACCAGTGTACTCATAGACCATACAGGCCACAGATTAATGGCCTTTTTCCCTTTTGGAACTCGACATACATTTCTCAGAGCCATCACCTCCGACCACCATGAAGAACAATTCTCTGTAGTTCAACAAATCATAATAGTTTAGCCGTATCACCTACAGACAGTAGAGTAAAACATGCGCTACTACTTTACGAGGGGGCACTTTAAAAGAAGCTTCATTAATACAGTTTACCGTGAAAGCCAGTTTCATTAAAACTAACAAGAAACAGAAGAGATCATTTCTTTTATTCACTGAAAAAGTTACGCCTTAAAGACAAAAAGTACACACAAACAAAAAACAGTGTTTTGTTACTGAATAGCGCAAATGCCAGAATGGCAGAAAGTTATTCCTGAATAAAACGGAGACAATCTTAAACATCTCCTCACTCAGTATTAGCTTTGACATGTTTTTCTACCGCCGTGATTGATGGCTGAAAAATGTTTCGGGGTACAGCGTGAAACATGAGGCCTGGACATTCACCCTGCCAGTCAACGGGGTCTGTGAATGAGGCCCGGGCAACAGCTATGCGGGGAATTGCGATCGAACTTCAGCGGCGCAGCGAGGTCTATGAGAGCGAGGCGCTCTGAGGAGCAACACCAAAGGAAAAGGCATAAAGAGGTAGTCGGGGTGGGGGCGTAAGGACAGAAACAAAGAAAGGAGAGGGGCGATGTGGGGAATGGCTGTGTTTGGAGGGTTTTCAGCCGAGGATTCGAGTGCATCACTGGGCCCACAGTGAACGTACAGTATGTGCTGTAACAGTATGCAGATGGTGCATAACAATCAGAACAATGACTTGCGGAGAAAAATGGAAGTATTTAAATGATTAGCACTTATAAAGCCACATGATGCCATGCTACCACAGTGGTTGCATTTAAATACTCTGTGGTAGCTGTTGGATGGCAAAATGGTAGTTAATTCTTATTTTTCCACCAAGTCCCAAACCATCAAACATCAAAAAAATTTTACCGTCTACTGTAAGCACATTCAATTAGGCGTGGGAAAAGTTTGAAAAAGCTTTCTTTGTTCATCAATTTTCAAACATTTTACAAACACATTACAAGTTCCTGTAACACCATAAAAGGTCAAACTGTAACCAATCACATGAGAGCAGAACAAAACTCATCATGGGCAAGTAAATAACATTTCCACTTCGAGTGACTGCCTACAACAGCGTTGCTCACTGTGTTAACACCTATTCATGTGGCACTTCATAAAGTTACAAGGAGAAATGTTTGTAAAAACCATCCTATGCCATTTCAAGAGGACACTGAATTATATGTCTTGGCTTTCCTGTGTGCTTCACCAGGGCCATTATTTTGGGGAAATATTTAGGGAATTTCCATTTTACTCTCGGATGACAGATTTTAAGAGTTGCACAGTTGTCTGGTGTCAGATGTAGAGAAGCAGAGACACGGAGAGCAGTGATTAAAAATCAGATCAGAGCTTTAATTCCCTACCTCCCTGCCTGCCCGGATTGCTGCTGCTGAGCTGTTTGATCATCGTGCTGGCAGTCTTGCTCAACATGTGAGAACTAAAGGCTGTTATTTTGGATGCTCCTTCAAACTTCAGATATCCTTCTGGCAAGAAAGGTTTAATTACTGCAAGAATATTCATTGAAAAGAGCTCCTCTGTTGCTCCTGCTTCCTATACACACACACACACACACACACACACACTGCTATTAATATCATCAATAGCAGCAATCAAACATGCCACGTTTTCCTATTAGATCTCTGGAGACTGTGAATGTGGATTTTTGGAAATGGGACACACAATAAAACGTGGCAATAAGTCAAGAACAAAAGCCGCATAGAAAAGCTTTAAGGGAATTTATAAACACTTCAGACTCAATTTAGTGGTAGCTGTGTCAAAAGGTCCAGATCACCCCTAAAATTGGTTCCAGGCACACAGCAGGCACGTTCGCTCTTAAATCCCAAATTTGAAAAATACGTGAAAACCTCTGCCAGCAGGGCGAGATAGTTTTGTTATGTTGCGTGTTCATCTGAAGAACGAGTATTGCATTACTTTAATCTAACAGTAAGTCTTAAATCGTAAACTGAATACCTTGCCCCGTACACACATACCAAACCCCCAGCTGCTCGTGTCTGCCTATGTTTATGGCTTCCAATAATATATAGTGACATAAAAGCTTTAATTAGGGTTTTCTGCTCGACTCACTGAATAAAAATAGTTGTGCTGGAGCTGTGGGGTAAGGTAAGCCACTGCGCTAGGGTGCTAGTCAGTTTTTACAGCAGGTAATTTGCTGGTTGTTTCAAAGGTTTCCTGAATATTATAGCCGAAAGATTTATAACGCACTGAAGAGGAGACCTGTAGCTAAATCCACTGTGTGTGCATGTATTTATATGTGGGAGGGAGCAGGGAACCATGTTAAAAGAGAGAAGAAGGTTGAAAGCTCAGAGTACGACAGAGAAAGGAAGGGAGTGTTGTTTTCAGTGGCAATGGCAACATGAATGGCCGCGCTGGCCTGTCCCCTTTGTCCAAATCAAATGTCTCTCTCTCTCGCACACACACACACACACACACACACACGTTTTCATATCTAAATGAGGACATCTAATTGACATAATGCTTTCCCTAGCCACTTACTTTAACCCTTACCATCAAAGATGAAGGCCTAACCCTAACCCTTAGCCTAAACCCAACCGTAACCTAATTGTAACCCTAATGCTAAAACCACATTTTGAATGGCATTTTGTCCCCATAAGGAACTGTTGGTCCCCACAAGTATAGTAGCATTCCAGTTTTTGGTCCTCACCAACACAGTACACACACACACACACACACACACACACACACACACACACAAAG